GGGTATCAAGCTGCTTAGCCATACTATGAAAGTCTGGGAAAGAGTGGTAGAGCTAAGGGTGAGGAGGAGTGTGTCTATTTCCGAGAACCAGTTCGGGTTTATGCCGGGGAGTTCGACTATAGAAGCCATCCACCTTGTTAGGAGTTTGATAGAGCAGTATAGGGAGAGAAAGAAGGACTTGCATATGGTGTTCATCGACTTAGAAAAGACGTACGATAAAGTTCCAAGGGAGGTTTTGTAGAGATGTTTGGAGATTAGAGGTGTACATGTTGCTTACGTTAGGTTGATTAAGGACATGTATGATGGAGCAAAGACCCAAGTGAGGACGGTGGGTGGGGACTCAGACCATTTTTCGGTTATGATGGGGTTGCATCAGGAGTTGGCACTTAGCCCTTTTTTGTTTTCTCTGGCGATGGACGTACTGACGCCCCACATCCAAGGGGAGGTGCTGTGGTGCATGCTATTTGCAGATGATATTGTATTGATTGACGAGACGCGAGATGGTGTGAACGCGCAATTAGAGTTATGGAGGCAGACCCTGGAGTCTAAATGTTTCAAGTTGAGCAGGACCAAGACAATATTTGGAGTGTAAGTTCAGTGGAGAGACTCAAGGAGGGGAAGGAGAGGTGAGGCTGGACTCGCAGCTCATCCCTAGGAGAGGAAGTTTTTAGTACCTTGGGTCTATTATTCAAGAGATGGGGAGATTGATGAAGATGTCACACATCGTATTGGAGCGGGATGGATGAAATGGAGACTCGCTTCCGGTGTTGTGTGACAAGAAGGTGTCACTGAAACTTAAAGGTAAGTTCTACAGAGTTGTGGTCAGACCAACGATGTTGTATGGGACTGAGTGTTGGCCAGTCAAGATCGCTCATGTCCAGAAGATAAAGGTAGCAGAGATGAGGAAATACCAACAGACTCGCTTTCTGTTGGTAGTAGTTTTTTATGACTAACCATTGTTTTCTTTCATTGTTGATCACCTTACTATCTTGTTCTTTTTATTCTGCTTTTATATGGTTTTTTGGTACTGTCACTTCTTGTCTATATTTCTATTAATGTGGGCTTATGCTTTTCTGAGCCGAGGGTCTATTGGAAACAACCTCTCTATTCTCACAAGGTAGGGGTAAGGTCTGCGTATACACTACCCTCCCCATACCCCACGGTGTGGGATAATACTGGATATATTGTTGAATTTGAAATCTTAAAATCTCAAGCTGTGCTAATCCCAAAAAAAAAGAAAAGAAAGTTATGAAAGTTCTATAGAAGGGGACAAAAGGAGTATTAAACAGTAAAATTATTTAACTTTGTTTGATTCTTTATTTTGGAATAAGCTTGTGTCCTGTTAGGATAAATGCATTCATTATATATCTAACATCGGTTTGCAGGCTGAACTTAATAAACCAGTTTCTGCTGATGATTCTACTGAAATTGGAGGTCCAAATGATGGAAGTAAGTCCAGTAAAAAGATAAATCCTGGTGGTGAGCAACATCATTCCCTTCTTCTGCAGGTATCATAAATTGCTTAAATTGCAATCCTTATGGATGTTAATGTTGATGAATCTGAGTTGCTAGATGCTTTTCTTACATTGCTTGAAGTATATTTCCAAGATCTCTGGCGCTGTACAGTTTTGTTTTCATGCTATTTTCTTTTTCTTTCAGCTTCTTGCTGCTCAGGCTGGATGTGAACCAAGTGACATATGTGACTTTGAGTTGCAAGCATGCGATACTCAGCCAAGTGTTATTGCTGGTGCCATGAAGGAATTTGTTTTTTCTGGAAGACTGGATAATTTATGCAGTTCATTCTGCTCTCTAAAGGTAAAAGATGCATGGATACAGAAAGTTGCATTGGATAGTTCTTCATGGATATTTTATTAGAAAGAATGGCATCATTTTTTGTATGAATAGTCTAATAGATGCATGGTTAAATACAATGTGCATAAATTTCGTAAAAAGATTGGAGACTATATTTAGAAGTTGCAACGTTCCTTTGCTGCATTGCTTTCCTTTTTTTCTTTAGTTCACATTTTTGTTGCTTTAGCAAAGCATTTTGAAACGGCAGCACCGGAGCGGTTTTACTTGAAATCATGTTGAGTGCTTGGAATGCGATAATGGTACTTGTTTTAAAATTCATGCAATGAAACTACTCTGGCGGTGGTCATGTCAGGCACTGATAGATGCTACTTCTCAAAATAGTCTTGAGGACGAGGTTGGTGTAAGAATGGTGGCTCTGTTTGATCATGAAGAGGTTGGGTCTGCTTCAGCACAAGGAGCTGGATCCCCGGTCATGTTTGATGCTCTCTCACGAATTACAAATACATTTAGTCCAGATTCAAAGGTAACAATTGAATAAATCTATCTCAGTGCTCCATATTGCTGCAATATTTCAATTGTCTCTTATTATTTCTTGTACACAGAATATGTTTGGTATTGTTAGATAGTTATGTGTAAATAGTCCTAGTCCCATATGTAGTAAGAGTAGAATATGTCCTAGTCCCCTATGTAGTAGGAGTAGAATATGTATTATATATATGACTCATTGTATCATTGTTAATAAATAGATTTTTCTCCTGTGCATTCTCACATGGTATCAGAGCTTCAATGTGTAAATTATCGATGTGCCTCATTCCGGCGGCATTGGGGAAGAAAGTTCTCGTCGTGCAATTTTCTGGCAACTTTGTCTTGTTCCCAGGGCTCATCAATGCTTCAGTGGTACTGTGCATATACCACTACCACCATCAGATCCGAAACCCTTGTGCGACCAAACCCCAGAAATCCCAGTCCCATCGGAACAGAAAAGTCATTCACCGTGCGTCTTTCCGGTTGACGACTCAAGATTGATTTGCGTTATCTCCTCATCGGCAAGTGTTGTGCAAAAACCAATACTACCATCTTGTTCACAAAAGTCAGACTGACAATACCCTAGTCAATCGCTCCGGCAGAGAGTCCCTCACGCGCCTCCAGAACTAGGGTTTCCGGCAAGCACGTCTGACACACACCGACGCGTGGAGAATTTTCCCGCCATAATTTTCAAAATTTTCTTTAGGACAGTTGTTTCGTGGGGTGATTCCGAGTCCACTAGTACAATTTCCTACGGATTCTTAGAACTTTGGAATTTTCCGGCAAGCTACATTAACTTTTCCGGCGCGTGTGAGCCATTCCGGTCACCTTTTTTGACAAAACTTTTTCAGGACAACTTACTCTTCCAGTGATTCTGAGCCTACCCATGTAAATTACATCAAATTCTGACAACTTTATTTTTCCGGCGTGAACAGTGCACTTTTCCTGGCGTGAACAATGATTTTCCAGGAAAGTTACCGTTTTCTGGTTGTGTTTTAGAACCTATTTGTAGTGTGGAATTCGGCTTTAGTCTCACTATTTTTGATTTTTTCCGGCAACTTTTCGGCCAACTTCTGTTTATCAGCAACCACCTGATTTTGTTGCTCAGGAGGAGTCTAGGGGCCTTGTATGTCGAATGATCAGTTTGCAGATATTTTCGCCAAGTCCCTGACTAGTCCTCTCGTATTAGTTCCATATGTAACAAGCTTGGTACATATGATTTGTATGCACCGGCTTGAGGGGGAGTGATAGATAGTTATGTGTAAATAGTCCTAGTCCCATATGTAGTAGGAGCAGAATATGTCCTAATCCCTTATGTAGCAGGAGTAGAATATGTTAATAAATAGATTTTTCTCCAGTGCATTTTCACCGGTACCTTGTAAGCAGACGCAGTAGAGCTCTTCATGCAGGCTTGGTTATCACTTTATATAACTCTTATCCTATTGAGAAAAGATTTGGACTTGCTTTATATTCCTAGTTTTACTGGAAATAGGTTCTGTAAGTTTTATCTATCCGTCTGAAGAAGCTTATATTTAGTTGAGATTAGCACCTCTCTTTATTATAATGTCTGCTGTTGTTTCCCATCTGTCCGCTTAGTAACATATAAAATAACACTTCTCTTTATTGTAATATCTACAAAGGTTTCCCATCTGTCCAATTAACTGAAAAATATGGGAGGCGATATTGCCAAAATCCTAGTTGTTGTCTCCGCAACTAGATAGCCAGGCTTGACAAAATGACGTTACTTTTGCCTGTGGCCATAATGAAATACTTCATATAAAAAATAAACTAATTTAGTTTAAAATTCTAAAGCCTAAACCATCTTTAAATCTTTCATTAAGTCGCTTTGAAGTGTATTCCTGGTTTTCTGATATGATTTTATGTTGCGCTTCAGTTAATACCGAAAGCGATCCAGAGGAGTTTCCTGGTCTCTGCTGATATGGCACATGCCTTGCATCCTAATTATCCGGTAAGTTGGTTCATGTGTCACCACTGTCTATAATTTAATATCTTTTGACTTGATATCAATTTAGTTCTTTTTCAGGACAAGCACGAAGAGAATCATCAACCCAAATTTCACGGTGGGCTTGTTATAAAACACAATGCTAATCAACGTTATGCCACCAATGCAGTCACTTCCTTCATCTTCAGAGAAATAGCTGCTAAGCACAACATTCCTATTCAGGTCGGTGGATCCTTAAAGCACTTGTATATGAACTGAATGCAAATAACTTGTGAAACCTTGTTTTGCAGGATTTTGTGATTCGCAATGACATGCCATGTGGCTCAACAATTGGACCTATATTGGCAAGCGGGATAGGTATTCGAACTGTTGATGTAGGAGCACCGCAGTGGTCAATGCATAGCATAAGAGAAATGTGTGCAGTGGATGATGTGAAGCATTCGTACCAGCACTTTAAGGCCTTCTTCCAAGATTTCTCACTTCTTGATGGAAAGATTGCTGTGGACCTCTAGCCCAAATATAATTTGGTAATCAAACTTGTTACATCATAATATCCCACACTGTGGGGTCTGGAATAATCAAACTTGTTCTCTAAGTCTTATTTCTTGACAATGGACAATGAAGTTATGCTTGTTTTCAGCGAATGTTACAACTGAATTTGTTTCTAAAAAGTCATTTATTACTCTTTCTAAATCTACCCTTAATGAGTTTACTAGAGTACTCTTATTAGTTAGTATATCATAGATGACAATCATGGCAAATATTCTTATTAATTAAGGTTATTAAATGTCTTTTTTAAACTGTCTGTTTAAAAATTTAATACATATAATATGGGATACAAATACTTTGGTTACCAAATAAATATACAAATATTTTGTTTACTGTAATATACAACTTAGATGTTGACAAGCTGATATAATACTCGTGAAAACAAAGAAATATTGCAAAGATTGATTAAATTATTGGCAGTTAAATCGTTTTTTTTAATATTGTCCTTTCTTGAAAAATGTAAGAAAAGGCTTGCAACTTTTTTACTACTTTTTGAGAATAGAGTCACTCTCGCGAGAGTGGGTCTAGAAATATACTAGTAAAAGAGATGATTATAATATTTTGTCAATTGAAGGTGAGAACGTATTAAAAAACCACTCCTTGTCTGTTCTAGTTACAGTAGTTCATTATTAAAATGACTAACCACCACCTACTACTACCAGTACTACTTTACTAGTATATCCATACTAAAGGCAAAGCGATTACGTAGTTGTACTGCTTATCGACTGTTGTATACGGGTGTGTTTGGTACGAAGGAAATTAAAATTTTTCATATTTGGTTGACTTAAATGTTTTGAAAAATATTTTCCTCATCAACTCATTTTTCTCCGATTGGAGAAAAATATTTTCTCTATCAAGAAAACCCTAAAATATTTTCCAAATCTCTTTTTCAACCTTTCCACCCTATTCTCTATCCCCCCACATCTA